GGAAGGAAGGAAGGAAGGAAGGAAGGAAGGAAGGAAGGAAGGAAGGAAGGATCTCATTAAGTTTTAGCATATCATACTGACAATCTCATGAGATTTCAGCATCCTCCCCAGGGAAAGATTATCAATTCTGTCTGGATTTGACAGTAATCTTAAAGTTTAGTGTTGTTAATTAAAAAACATGATTGGAGTGCCTGGAATAATACATTTATATGCTAGTGCCTAACAGCTGAAAAGATTGTAACCCTTTTAATCTAATTTCTATCTAAATGCAAGAGATTTATAGAACATTCCGAACTAATGGCTGACTATTCACTTGGTCAGTAGGAGAAAAAAATACATCACTTTCCTAAGGTACTTCCTCATTCCAACTAGGGCTGTGATTGAATTCACCATCAAGAAGACAGGGAAATCCGAGAGTTCTCAGGAAAACCTTAGAATCCAAACGTTTCTTAAAATGTATTATTCAGTCTACCACTTTTACATTTTTTTAAAAATGCCAATCTGTGGGTAATGAGTTCCTGTCCCATGTAAAGTCATTAATTCAGCAGAATTTGTATACTTCTGATTATTTTTGCTATTTCATTACAAAACATCTAGAATTGGGATGTACTTGTAGCTATAGTTACACATTGAATAATGTAATTGTTGAGGGGCTTTCCTGTACTGCATTGCAGGTTAATAGGTTTTGTTGCTGACCATTTGCTTAACTTCTATAACAGATTGATATGTGATCTATCATACTACTAGCCTGGCTCCATTATTTAGTTTATTGCCATCTTGTATCAAGAAATGTTTTGTGTTCCAATACCCCTCATTTCACCATTTTCATTGTGAGAATTTTATAAGCCTATTCAGGGAGCAGAACAGCAACATAATTTGATATCTTCCACAAGCAGCCATCCTGCTGCCACTGATAAGCTTTCCTAGGAGGGCAGTGATGAAATTTAGTGCTTTACAATCCTTAATTGGCACATGTCTTTGTCAGACATATACAGCCACTGGGGGAATGCCATATGACAATCTAGCAGGCAGATCGACACCTTACACAAGTTCAGGTTGTTTTTAAAATAGTGGCATTAAAATGAAAGCATATCATCAGATTTTTGTAGTTCAAAGCTTAAGATAACAGAAAACAGAATATAGAAATAAAAATAGAATATTTCAGATTCTTCATTTTTTTAACTTTGCAGTGTTCAATCTATTGCTTGGCATTGTATTGGTTCAATGTACCAATACCTCCACACAAACCTGCCATTTGTTATTATTTAGTAACCCCATACAACCCAGACATTGAAATACAGAAAACGACCTCCAAAACTGAATTCATGATAGAAGAAGTAACAAAAATGAATACTAGTACTACATTGATCTAGTAAATTAAAACCAATACCATAGGACCATTTCTTAAAGCAGGTCAATCATGACTGATGAGACATGATTGCAGAGGATTTTAGAAGGTAGGCAGAAAAGGGAATATGATTTCAACCTTGACAACAGGGAAAATAGATATACCACAACTAGTAGCAGCTATTTAGGCCTGGAAGAGAAGATATTCCCATCTCCAGACCCTAGAAACACATAATTCCAGACCAGAAGCAGATAATGGAGTAACTTCAGAGAAGGACGTGCAAAAGGGGTTTGAATTGCCCCTTTGAGAAACAAGAAGAAAAAAATCATATGGGGAACTTTCCTTTTTCTTTGGTTTTTGTATGAGCACCTGAATGTTGAGGTTCTGTAGACAATTTTCTCAATATTTGGATAGAAAACTTGGATAAGAATCTTGTCAGAAGATTGAGAAGACTATGTCTGTGTGTGAGAGTGAGACAGAGAGAGAGAGAGAGAAAAACAGATAGAGACAGATAGAGACAGATAGATAGACAGAGACAGAGAGAGACAAAGACATAAACACAGACATAAACACAGAGAAAGACACACAGAGAAACAGAGATTGAGAGAAATAATAGTTGTTTAGTTCTAGCAACATACCGTGTTTCTCACAAAATAAGGCCGGGCCTTATTTTTTTATTTTTATTTTTAGCCCCGAAAAAATGGCTAGGATGTCTTTTCTGGGGGTGAATTAATTTCTTCTCCCTCCTGCGCACCAGCGCCATCTCCAACAACAGCATCTGAGTCGCTCCCGCTTTCCCCCCGTCCCCATAACAACAGGAAAAAAAAGATTTTGAGGAACCTGGGAGCACCGCACGCTGCGTTTTGGTTAAATCCCGAGCGGTTGTCTTTGGCATGAGAAGAGCCGAGCGAGCGTCTCTGCTGCTGCTACCCTTGGTGCTCCAGCCTCGGGCTCTCTGCAAGTTTGCAAAAGTCCTGGTGCGTAGCCCGTTCCTGCATTCCAAGCGCCCAGGCTGAGCTGCAGCTGTCCCTCTCTCGCCAGCACCGTCTCCAATAACAGCGGCAGCAGCGGCGGAAACCGTGGAAGTTAAGGAGGTGGCTCCCCCACCCGAGAAGTGGCTGAAACGCTTCCATGGTTCCCGCCGCCACTGCTGCCACTGTTATTGGAGACACTGCTGGTGAGAGAGGGACAGCTGCAGCTCGGCCTGGGTGCTTGGAATGCAGGAACGGGCTGCACACCGGGACTTTTGCAAACTTGCAGAGCCCAAGGCTGGAGCACCAAGGGTAGCAGCAGCAGAGACTCTTGCTAGGCTCTTCTCATGCCCACCCAGCCACTCGGGATTAAACCAAAACGCAGCATGCGGTGCTCCCAAGTACCTCAAAATGTTTTTTTCCTGTTGTTACAGAGACAGCGGGAGCGACTCAGACGCTGTTGTTGGAGACGGCACTGGCAAGAGAGACGCCAGCACCGGTGGGAACCGTGGAAGCTACGGAGGCCTGAGAAGAGGCTGAAATGCTGCAAGACATCCACACCGACGCCGCCCACCTGCTGACTCGGGTAAGGGAGGGTAAGGGAGCCCTCTGTGCACCATGATTGGCTGTTAGTAGTGGATGATGGTGAGGCGTAGCTGCCTGCGGGGCACTCCTAATGTCAAGTTCCCCCCCTGCCTTCTCCCCCCATTTCACATGTTTTAAACTAGGCCTAAATTTGGGGGGGGGGGGCTTAATTTCATTTTATGCCTAGAAAATATGCTGGGTCTTCCTATTGGGGGGGGGCGTATTGTTGGAGAAACACAGTAATAGAATTACCATTCTTCTGAATTAGGATTTAATAACTATAATTAATTGAGGGATGAGACAAGGTGCTTCCCTCTTTACTATGTTAATTTTGTTCATTGATACTGTTGCATTTGGATGAATTATTTATATTCGCTGTTAGTTTCATTTTCTAGTTTGTGCTACATTTTCTCAATTTAGACAAAGTTCTAATAGTAGACTTTACTTTTACCTAGTAGAATGGTGGCATGGGGAAAAAGGAGAAGAGGTAATAGTTTTTCTGTTAAAAAGAGGTAAAGTACATTCAGTTATAATGGTTCATACTTCTATCAGGATAGTCAGGCATACCAAGTAAAATTACTGATGCCTTGATATTCTTTGATATCAGCTTGGTCTTGATATAAAAAAGACAAATTTTATCATCTTACAGTGAATCAAGAATTTTACTATGTGTGGTATGAGACAACCAGAAAATAAGTCCTAGCATGATGTTTCAGGATGCTCATAATATAAGCCCTAGCCCAAAAATAAACCCCAGTTAAGATTGTCAGCCAGACTGACACATTAGTACCATATTTCCCCGAAAATAAGTCCAAACTGGAATATAATCCCTAATGAAACTTTTGGAGCAAAAATTAATATAAGTCCCAGTCTCATTTTCGGGGAAACAATGTGTACTGAACTGTACTATACTATACTATACTATACTATACTATACTATACTATACTATACTATACTAT